AAAAAAAAAAAAAAAAAAAAAACCAAAAATGTCCCAACAATTTATAGACCCAGTGTGAACCTCCACTGTGTCCAGAATGACCACAATGTTCATCCTCGCCCAAAAGGCCACTGAGAGCTGGCGGTGGAGCATGGGGCTTTGCACAGCAATGGAGCTTCACACGAACACGCATGAAACAGACATGTGCAGGCCCATGTGGTGTTTTACATGTTTGCTGACAGAACCACCCAGGGAGACTAGAACTCAGGGATGGGGGTAAATGGCCCCATGGGTGGTCGGCTGCCAGGAAATACAGCAGAAAAGGCAAGAACCTGGTTGTACAGACCCTGCACACTGTAGTTCCAGCATCACAGAACCTACAAGTGCTCACTGAACTGAATTCCACTGAGATAAAAGCGCTGAAGCCCTTTTTATAGGCTGAACTGTGTCCCAAAAAAATTCTTATGTTCACGTCCTAGCCCCTAGTACCTGGGAACAGGACCGTATTTGGAGTGAGGGCATTGAAGGAAATAATTAAGTTAAAATGAGGTCATTAGGGTGAGCTCTGATTCAGTGTGACTTGTGTCCTTATAGGGTGAGGGTATCAGGACTCAGAAACACAGAGGGAAGACAAAGTGAAAACACAGGGAGAAGGTGCCATCTACAAGCCCAGGGGAGAGGCTCAGGAAAAACCAACCCAGCCCACACCATGGTCGTGGACTTCCAGCCTCGAGAATTATGAGAAAATAAATGTATATTATTTAATAAATGCATACAGTCTGTGGTACTTTGTTACATAGCCCTAGCAAACTAATACAGCATTCTTTTTTAAAAAAAAAAAAAAAAAGGAATATCTCAGGGATACCTGGTACACTTCCTCTCTTCTATCCAGATGTCCAACCCCTACATACATCTCAGTCTCAACACAAATATTAGTTACTCTGTGAAGCCTCGGTTAGAGCACCGACCTGCCTCCCCACACGCCGCCTGTCCACAGAGGATGGCGACATGGTTTTCGGTCAGGTCACATGGAAGCCTCATGTAGCTGGGCTTCCATTATGTTGGCCAGCCTTGGGAGGGATGAAATGTTAGCAAGGAAAATGAGCATCGATGATGCCCAGCTGTACACAGAGCAAGTCTTCTCGCCCAGAGAGGACAAGTCCTCCTGCAGACCACTGGGCTGTCTGGGGTCTGCGCAGGAACACGGGCCACCCTGCTGTTCACTAGCGAAGCTGGGTTATGATCGTGTCCCACACTAGCGCATTTGTGTACCTGGAGTTCCTGCAAGTGAACCTGGTGGCACTCCTCACAGCAGAGTGGCCACTGGGCAACAGGCTCAGTTAGCAAACACCCAGATTACTACTTACGAGTGATACCTTCCCTTCTTCACATAATGAAAGGTACTCTTCTCCCACTGAAACTCCTACATGGTTCATTTATTTGGGATAGTCCAGCTTTCTTATTTTAAAGGCAGTCACTCAAAAGAATTGCTAGCTTTTCTAAATGGCAATGTGATTTCATCATCAGACAAGCCTTGGGCTGGAATTCTCCAGCTAATGAACCAGAGCCCCATTCCACTCCTCCTCAGGAGAGATTCATGAGCCCCACGCTGACACTTCTCAGGGAAGCCCTGGGCACTGTTTCTTTCATATAATGATGGACCCTCAGCAGCGGAGGCAAGAGAAAACCCGGTGATTGCAGACATGGAGCCCAGTCCCACAGGAGAGCTATAATTACCATGCCAAACAGCAGGGCCAGCGTCTCAAAATCAATCCACTCCACCACATGGGTCAGGCTGGGTCTCTGCAATCAAAGCACACATTTGCCAATTAATCCGGTACGCCACCATCCCCGTGATGAGCCTAACGAAGCACTGCACCCTGCTGCAGACCCACTCGGGGAACCTCACCATCCACCCTTTGAAGCTGTTGGAAAACAGTCTTGACCCAGGGTGTCTATAATGTCAAACCTATGCACGTAGTCATCAATTTTTTCTAGCCCCTGCCTCTAGTACATGGAAGGACGAGCCCCCAGTTACCATCTTAATGGAGTCTGTACGTGCCCTCTGCAGTGCCATACCTGAGGCCAGATGACAGGAACGGGCACTGCCATCTGTCCCACTCTCAGCTAGGCTCCAGCACTGCCTCTCAGACAACTCAGGGCCCCCAGCCCCAGTGGCCACTGGTCTCTGTTGTTTACCTATGGTTGTTCCCCATGTCCCTGCCAGAGAGGCCCTGCTCAGACCCAAACAGGACCCCCTCATCCCCAAACACACCTCTCCAGGGGCCTCCTGATCTCTGCAGGACAGACCCCAGCCTGACCAACTCCCACCTTTCTGTACCAGCTAGGAGGGCTCCCTCTAGTTCCAACGCTCAGATCCAGCCCCAGCACCACCCAGCTCCTCAGCCCTGGGCAAACATGACCATAAGGAGCCTTTCCTCAGCCACAATGAGGAATCATACCCCCGGGATGTGAGTGTTTAACAAAACGGAAGAAAAATGCTGCAGCTTGTTAGTTCATACCTCTAGCATAGTCCTTGGGCAAAAATATGGAAGTGGCATATACAACAGTGAAAAACAGCAGTGAAAGCCTGAATCTGGAATGTCTGTGGGCTGACATACACTGAGGGGCGAGCCAGGGACTGGGACTGGGACAACTCACGTCGCCAATCATGGCCAGCGCTGCCAGTGCCGCAAGGGAACCCAGCATGGCGGCCAGAGTTCTGTGCACGATCTGGAAAGAAGCACAGGACATGACTGCGTTTCGGTCCACGAGGGAGTTGGCACCCACGAAGGCCTGTATGGAAGTGAGGGGGTCTGTATCTGCCACTGTGCACCACATCTATTCACATGGTAAGTCAGTCACAGGTCTGGCTGTTTCAGGCCTGGATACCCCACAGACACAGACAGCTCCCACCAACCGCCTTCTAAGGGAAGCTGCTTTCATTTCCTAAATAATTAGATGGCCCTGATAAAACAGCAGAAGGCCAGACAGAGTATGTTCTATGGGAAAGCCACAGCAGACTCTCATTAATTATTTGCCATATGCTCCCATGGGAACTGGTCCATTCATTCAGCAACATAAATCAATTCCTCCCAATTGCTAGACTCCTATTATACCAAAGGTACAGAGTCCAACACTTTATATAATTGAGACTTCTGTATACCACAAAAGCATCTTTTCTATTTGATTGTAATTCAAACAGAAGTGGAATTTCTAAGACAAAATATGAGAAGAGGCCAAGACATGGAGAATTGGAGCTTTCATACATGGCTAGTGGGAATGTAAAATGATCTAGTCACTGTGGAAAGGAGTTTGGCAGTTTCTTATAAAGTTAAGCGTAAGTTTACCCTATGAATGTGCCCAGCAATTCTACTAGGAATCCACCCAGCAGAAATGAACACATGTCTACACAAAGCATCGATGCGAATAACAACATTATACAAAGGAGACAAAAACTGGAAATATTCCAAATGTCCACCAGTAGTGAAGGCACAGCCTGTGTGCAGATGGGTACTTAGAAGTTATGCTGGGGAAAGAAGCCAGATGCAACAGATGGGATCAGTCCCTCTATGTAAACTTCCAGAAAAAGTAAACTTAGAGAAACAGAAAGATCAGGGCTGCCCAAGGCTGCGGGAAGCAACAAGAGTTGACTAGAAATGGGTCCCAGGGATCCTTATGGGGTGATGAAATGCGCTAAAATGGTAATGGCTGCAAAACTCTAAATCTAGCAAACATAATTTACTCATACACTTCCAAAGGCTGAAATTATGGTATTTAAATTATACCTCAATAAATCTGTTAAAAAAATACAAAAAGAATGTGGCAAGATTGAGTGGAAAATTCAATGCTAGCAGGCATTATTCATTTCTTAATCCCCTAAAGGGACTTTCGCTTCATTTCTTCACAGCTTCCATCTCACAGAACTCAACTCCCTTTGCCAGTCATTACCTGAAACTCCAATTCCAACTAAAATTATTCTATTTATAATGTGTGCTAGATTCAAGGTTCATTTTCAGGAAATGTGATACTATGTGTCGGCTTTTCGCAGTTTAAGTTTTTAAGAGTTGTTTTGTTTCAAATATAAATACCTAAAATCCAATAAGTTGCTACCAAACTCTCATAATTCCTTCCATTCGTTCTCTGCTTTTCAGTCTTTGTTTAGGATCCATTTTAAGGACACTTCCTTGTCCAATGCTGAGGGTGGCCCCGGGAAGCAGGCAGGGCAGCCATTCATCCCCGCTCCACAGCCATGGTGCCCAGAGCGGAGGTTCACCGGCTGGGCATGGCGAGCGGGCACCACAGCCAGGCTGCCCTCTCCACCCGACACAGAGCAAAGCGAAGACACTCCACTTTGGTATGTCTCCTTTTTGGCACTTAATTAAGTCTCGGTGAGTAGAACCTGATGTGACAGCATGTGGGCACGGCCGTGGATAAAAGGAGGAAGGCACTGCACGGACAGAGCAGACGGGGTGGAGCTTGCTCCGAGCCGGCCCTGCAGTCACACTCTGCGACACAGTCCTTTCTTCTGGCTTCACCTTTGGGCTAAGTTTGTCTGGAGGGAAAAGAAACTTTCAGCAAAAAGCAAAGAGCCGGCCTGGCACAGTGGCTCACGCCTGTAATTCCAGCACTTTGGGAGGTCAAGGCAGGCAGATCTCTTGGGGCCAGGTGCCCAAGAGCAGCCTGGCCAGTATCATGAGACCTCATCTCCACTAAAAATGTAAAAATAAAAAAAAAAAATTAGCCAGGCATGGTGGTGCACACCCATAGTCCCAGTGACTCAGGAGCTGAGATGGGACACTTGCTTGAGCCCTGGAGGTAGAGGCTGCTGTGAGGTGAGACTGCACCACTGCACACCAGCCTGGGTGACACAGCGAGACCCCATCTTAAACAAACAAAAAAGAGCAAAGAGCCACGACTACCGGCCACTGGTCAGCAGGATTGGATCACGGCAAAAATAAATTTTACTGAGCACCTACTGTGCACCTGGTCCTGGAGTAAGTGCTCCACACACACCATCTGTACCTTTCACAGTGACCGTATGAGGTAGAAACACAATAACCCACTTTGCAGAGGAGGAAACAGTCTCAGGAATGCTGAGTAGTCTTCCCTGTGTCAGAAAACAAAGGACATGCACACCCAGGATGCAGACCAGCATTTTCTTACTCCGGGGCACCTCTTCTCTCCTCGTGGGGCCTTGCTTGCTCGTCTTTAAAATCAGAAGACTGTACTACATACCTCAAGGAGCCCTCAGCTCTGGAGGAGGTCCGTGAACATTATGAAATTGAGTCCTAGCAGGTTAACACACAAATGAGCAAATGGCAAGGCAGGCAACCACGGCGCTCTTAGGACAGCCGGGCTGACAGTGGTCTCACTAAGTTCGCTCCACCCAATGCCACCGTCAACACCTGTCTCCCTCCTCATCGCACACACCGGCTTGCACATGATCCACACATAAGCATCTCTGCGGCCCACAGTGAGTGCTCAGGACACGTGGATGCAGCTGTCCTCACTCGGAAACCCACCCTCCTCTACCAGCTAAGGAGCCCCACACACCATGTAGGAGGAGAAACCTTCACTTGTCATTTAAGAAATGGAATAGCACGCAGATGATCAGCCTCTAGTATGTGGAATAAAACTTTTTAAACTACATGGTTCTCAAAGAAGATGAGTTCGTTGCTTCAGATATAATTATGCACATTCCTAAATTTCTATGCTTAAGAAAAAGAATTTTCATCTATCAGGAATATAAAAAAATATGGTAAACGGACCTAAAATGTAAAAATAATAAAAATTCTTAAAAGATGCCTGCCTTGAACTGGAAAAAACCACCTTAAACTTCATATGGAACCAAAAGAGAGCCCGCATAGCCAAGTCAATTCTAAGCAAAAAGAACAAAGCAGGGGGGCATCACACTACCAGACTTCAAACTATACTACAAGGCTACAGTAATCAAAACAGCATGGTACTGGTACCAAAACAGAGATATAGACCAATGGAACAGAACAGAGGTCTCGGAGGCAACACAACGTATCTACAACCATCTGATCTTTGACAAACCAGTCAAAAACAAGCAATGGGGAAAGGATTCCCTGTTCGATAAACGGTGTTGGGAAAGCTGGCTAGCCATGTGCAGAAAGCAGAAACTGGACCTCTTCCTGACACCTTACACTAAAATTAACTCCAGATGGATTAAAGACTTAAACATAAGACCTAACACCATAAAAACCCTAGAAGAAAATCTAGGTAAAACCATTCAG